TTTTTTTTAAGATTTTATTTATTTATTTGACAGGGAGAGACAGCAAGAGAGGGAACACAAGCAGGGGGAGTGGGAGAGGGAGAAGCAGGCTTCCTGCTAAGCAGGGAGCCTGATGCAGGGCTCGATTCCAGGACCCTGGGGTCATGACCTGAGCTGAAGGCAGATGCTTAACGACTGAGCCACCCAGGTGCCCCTAAAATACTACGCTTGTTCAGAGCTTTAGAACAGTGGATTTCAAGCCTGGCTGAAACACAAAATAGCCTGGGGAGCTTTTAAAATTTCATGACCAATTGAGATTTTATGGAGGCAGGATCGGGTGATTACAATGTGTAGCCAAGGTTGAAAATCACTGCCATAAATAAACCAATCAACCTTTAGCTTTGTTGCTCAGGAATGTGCCTGTCACCCTTCCTCTATTCAGATCAAGGACTGGGTGGGGGCTGTAGATATTTGACAATAATAATAATAATGAAAATGATACAGATATTTTGGAGTAACTGCTTGAAAATTTCTTTGGTATAAAAATATCCTATCAAAAGGACTTAAACATGTGTCAAATTTTACTCTGAAATATCCAGATGCAAGGTATTGTTGATTATTATTACTGTTAAAAGCTGGAAAGTAGGCAGGGATACAGAATTACGGGAAAAGATTTAACTTAGGGCAGAAACTATTTTCTGCTGAGAAGCTGCCACTGTTGATACTTGTCCCTGACCACTGGAATCAAGCTCGAGGGCCGTGTACAACACCAGGATGGGGGCAGGCGTGAAAGGAAGCATGACTCTGACCCTAGTAAGGACAGTGCTCTGGCCTGAACCAGGAAGGATGTTCAAGAGGCCAATGGCCCAAGACAAAATCTGAGGTGGATTCTGGAAGAAGGGATGGAGTTTGCCAAGTGGGAGTTGTAGGACAGTGGCATTCTGGACTTGGGGACAAACTCACAGGCCAAAATGTAGACGCCCTCACGAGAGGGGTGAGGCACTGAGGGACTGTAAGGGAAGCTGGCCTGGCTGATGCAGGACTCTGATCAGTGTAATTAGGATCTGAAGAGCCTCCAATAATTATGGAGAGCTATTAAATATTAAAGCTTTTAAAGCAAGAGTGTAAAATGATCAAATTTCTGTTTGGGAAAGACCTCTCAGACAAGAGGGCAGACTCTGGGCAGTGATGAGAAGGTGGCTACAGCAGTAGTCCAGAAGAAATGAACTTGACCATTACTTGGAAACAGAACCAGAAGAGCAGCGGGATCCAGACAAGACTAAGGGGCTGGGGGTGCTAGACAGTGATCCCCGTGACCAGGAGGAGAAATAGGGTAGGGAGGCTGAATTCAGTTTTGTATCTGTTGGGTCTGACAGAGTTGAGAAGGGGTTCTAGGCACAGGTAACGAGAGGAGTCGTGGCCTAAGCTGTGTGTCAAAATGCATGGTGTACTGAGGGGCCGTGTGGACCGGGAAAGCCAGAATGTGGGCTCAGAGAAGGAAAGGGGGCCTCCAGGCAGGCCACTTAGATTGGGGAGGTTCTGGAGATAATAAGGAGAGACATTTTCTTCAGGAGGCCCGGAAGACTGGACAGCAGAGAGAGGGGGGACATGACAGGTGGTGGATGAGGGACTCAGACAAGGGTATACAGACCGGCTAACGAGCGTGCAGCTGAGCTCTGACACAGGTAAGAACAGCTATCAGGGTGGCAGTGGGAACAGACAGGCAGTGACAACTTTGAGGGTCACTCTGAACCTGACAAGGCCAGCTCACTGATTCCAGCCAAGAGAGACCAGTCCTGGATTACTGGGTGAATACAGTGCTGTCAAAGTCAAGGATCACAAGGGCAAGAAAGTTCATCCAGAAGAACAATGAGTGAGGACTGATCCAGAGACGCTCTATCATGGAGTGCTCACGTCCCGTGGGAGGCTGGAAAGCAGATGGGGAGCTCAGTGGAGCCCAATGGCTGACCAGGAAGAAGGCGGGTTCGAAACGTCATGCTAAGAGCTCAATTAGCTCAGTCTGTCCACAGAGAGGGCGGCAGAGCACCCTAATGCTGCTCCTGGGGTTAAGGGTCACTTAGCAGTGGGTTATGTGGAATGAGGGCCGGGGGGGCCTGATGATGACAGGGAGCCCCTTCCGGTGGTGGCTTTCACCAACTATGCTATGATGCATGCCCTCCCACGCTCACATGGGACAGAACCCTCGCCTCCGGTGCCTCCCAGGACCAGTCTTGAGAGTGTTTGTGGTCAATGCACCTACTCTGGCGGTAGAGTTCAATAAATCTCTTCTGATACTGTATTAGCTCAGCTCGGCTGGGTACTTCATCAATCTTGCGATGCAAAATTGCTATTTCTCGATTTCTTCGAGCCTAAATGCAAAAGGAAGGGGGAGACAATACTATTTGGTAAAAGGTCTTACATGTTCTCTGGGGAGCCAAAATACTGCCCCCACCTCCTTCTGAGCGTAACCACACACCCCACCCAAAAAACCGCTATTGGCTTGAGGTCCCCATCTCAGATTCTGATGGACCCTCCTCCCCCTTTGTGACACATGGAGAAGGTGTGTGTGTGGCTATGAACTAGAACCAGAGAAGGCAGCAAATGAATGGCTAGGGACAGAAGATCCTACACGGGAAAGGCTTTTGTGGACAGCCCTCGGCCGTCCCTCTAGGTCCCAAAGGACTCAAGAGTAGCTGATTCTACCATCACCAGGTGGGGAGCAGGAATGAAAAGGAAGGCTTCCCAGATGACGAGGAACGGATGCCACCCTGCTGCCTCCATATAAATTCCAAATTCCTTAGCCTATTGAAAAGCTCCTACAATTTACTCCTACAGTATCTTTCTCGCACTTTCGCCCTACCATGGACTGGGGGTCCAGTAGCCAAACTGGCCACTGACGGCACCTGGGGAGGCAGAGGGGTGCGGTGTGGATGGGCTCCCACACTGTTCCCTTTCTTCTGTGCCACCCCATCTCGCTCTCCCGTCTGCCTTGCTCACAACAGCGCGTGGGGGTCTCTAAGTACTGGGGAAAGACAAGCCTCCTGGGGAGAAACCCACCAAACCCAAAGTAGGGGCTCTGTGGCTCTGGTCAGAGGGAAAAATGTGCTTGTCCTTTTGGCCAAGGCTACCCTGTCCCTGGGTGCTCAGGCTCTGACTCCTGAATTTTTGTCTTTTTTTTCCCCCCCAAGAATCTTACTGTTTTTACTGCATCTTTAATCTTTCCCTTTCTACTGGCTCCCCCTTCTCACCAGCATTTAGATAGGCTAAGGTCCCTCACCCCTCAAAAGCCCCTCGCTAAGTCCTGATCACCTTTCAGCTAGCAGGCTCTTTCTTCTTTTTTTTTTTTAAAGATTTTATTTATTTATTTGACAGACAGAGACACAGCAAGAGAAGGAACACAAACAGGGGAGTGGGAGAGGGAGAAGCAGGCTTCCCGCTGAGCAGGGAGCCCGATGCGGGGCTCGATCCCAGGACCCTGGGACTATGACCTGAGCCGAAGGCAGATGCTTAACGACTGAGCCACTCAGGTGCCCCAGCAGGCTCTTTCTTCTGCAACAGCAGCCCAACTTCCTGAGAGCCAGCACCCCCAGTGCCTGTAGCCACTCCCACGCCCGCAGTCATCCTCCTCCCCACTGGCAGCTGGCTTCTCCCAACGCCTGCCGCACTGCTCTCACTAAGTCACCGCAGACCTTCTCTGGGAGACAGTCATGGATAATTGTCAGCTTCTAGCTTTCTTGATTTCTAGCAAAATTTACCATTCTCTCTGCTGAGCCTTCTGCTCAGCTTCCACAAGACCCTGGCTTCCCCCCATGCCTCCAGCTACCTCACTGGGGAGTTCCTCCTTTTCCTCTGCCTGTCCTTACACAGGTTTTACCCCACTGTCACAGCTTTGGTTACCACCAACATACTGCTGCCACCCAATGGCCAGCCCAGACTACCCTGAGCATCAGACCCGACACCCGATCACTTCTTGGACATTTCTACTTGGTTGAGTGCCCCAACTTTCAAGAGCCGCAAACAGATCTCAATAACACTCCTATTCACACACACCCCCTTGAACCCTGTTCTTTTTTAAATGCTTTTTCTCAATGAATACAAGTACCCACCCGAGTCAGAAATTCAAGCACCATCCTTGACTCCTCTGTTTCTTTGACTCAGCTGGTGCTAAGTTCCATCAGATACGGCTTTTCAATCTCTCCCATGCCAGTTCATGTCCGCGCAGCCCCACGGTCCCCACTCTGGCTCAGGCCCCCAGCAGGCTTATGGTTTTACTGTAGCTTCCCTCTAGGGAGTCTGAAGCTGCCCATGATTGGCAATTTGCATATCAACTCCCTTGTATTTGATGTATAGGGACATATCTTGGTTCTCAAATAGCCAGCCAGCTCCCAGAAGATGGGCCATCCCATTTACTATTCCTGGTGCCTAACACAACACTGAGTATACATACAGTAAGCACATAGTCACAAAGTCTTCAAGTATGCAGTTGTGTATTTTCCTGGTTTCATTTAATTCTGTTTCTTTAAAGATTAGCAGTGTCCCTGTATCAAGGACAAATCTGAGGCACCCAAATTTAACCAAACAGCTCAGCAAACTAAGCAAGAGCCAGAGATAGGAGAGACAGGGGCTCACTAGCCCCTGCAGCCCTTTGACCATTCTCGTCAGAGCCTGGCTTTCTCTTCCCGGAGAACAGGGAGAAGGCCCAAGCCAAAGGACAACACAAGCTAACTCTGGGCTTCTGAGCTTCCATGAGCCAGGTTCTGGCACTGCCAGGGACTTTGCAAAGAAATTTTGACTCTGTGTGACTTCAGCTTTAGAACCAACCATATTTGATGGCTTTCTTACAAATCTCCAAGGTTATCAAATAAGACCGCTCAAATGGGCACGTGATTTTAGAGGAAAAGTACTAGACAAGAGCTCTGGAACTTGAAGGCTGGCTTTGGCACTTACTAGCTTCTTGACTTTGGACAAGTACTTAACTGACTTGAGTGAATTACTTCATATAGAAAATGAAGCTAATACCTACTGTCCACCCAGAGATCTCGATCACATCCATCGAGATGACCGTGAAAGTAACGTACCGATGTGAGGTGTTACTGTCAACATCTTAAACCACATAGTTCCACTCCAGACAGAACACTGGCAAACCGCAGCTTCCGTACCTGTCGTTCTTAGATACTGAGACTTCCTAGTTCTCTACGGGATACCCAGATAAGTGTATTTATGTGTTTTTTTGCTCTTGCTTTCACTTACCTGTAGTAAACGGATCTTGTAAAGTTTCTCTTTCTCCATGTTATACCGTCTGTCTAGGTCTTCCTAAAAATTGGAAAAGGACACAATTATCTAAGAGCAGGAAACTTTCATTCTTTGATAAAGTCTTTTGGAACTGAATATTTTTATCATATCTCTCCATTCTGAGGCCCCAAATTTCTTTTCTCAAATGGCCGAGTTTAGAGTCTGGGTCTTATGTGAAGTATCCCCCAAATTTATGTGCCCCCCCAAAACTATGATGATAGGGAGATAATTATTACTTAAAGAATCTGTTGTTCTAAGTCCCCGTGTTTATAGTGACACTGGTTTGCTTTCTATGTTTCTACCTAGAGCTACACTGTCCAACATGCTAGCCACTAGCTGTGTGTAGTTATTTAAATTGACATTCACTGAAATTTAAGAATATTTAGTTTCTCAACTGCAATAGCCACACATCAAGTGCTCAGTAGCCACAAGGAGCTAGTGGCTATCATACTGAACAGTGTAGCCACAGAACACTGCCATCAATGCAGAAAGTTCTTTTGGACAGCACTGAAGTACGAGAGAGGAACTGGCTCTCACTGAGCCCCACGAGGTAAGACATGGTTAGATGGTTTGCTACATCAAAAAAAGCCATGAAAGGGGTCAGAGGTGTCTTCTCCCCCAGCACATGTATGTACACGTGCGCACACACCCCCACACTCAGTCTCCCCCACAGGGCTCAGCTGCACACAAACCCCACACGACTGTACTACAGGACTCCTGACGCTCATTCTCTAGTTTGAGGGCACAAAGGGAAGAGGCAAACATTAAAGGAGGCAAGTGTTTAGAGCTTTCCTGCTTTGCACTTCTTCCTCTTTTTCCTTTTTTTCTTTCTCCTGGATGTTTGTTTTGGAGGGTGGGGAGCACTGGTTTAACTCAGAACAGGGGTCAGCAAACTATTGCCCATGAGCTAAACCATACAACCCTTGGGCCAAATTCACCTCACTGCTTCTTTTTGTGAATAGTTTCATAGGAGCGTAGCCATGTTCTTTCATTTCCAGACTGACTATGGCTGCTACAGCGGGGTTGGCACACCACGCTGAACATATTTCCTATTTGGCCCTTTACAGTTTGCTGACCTTGGAATGTAGTACAGTAGAGAGTTTTCCCCCTGCAGCACCCCACCCCTCAGAGCCTACGTGCTGTGACCAGCCTGTGTGGTGAAGGCACGCCTCTCCCCTTCTCAGCTGAGATGCCCGAGCAGACACAGAATGCCTGCACAAAGTGCAGGGAGAAAACCCACCAGAATGGCGGTCTCCAGGACCATCCCTGCGGAGACCCTGCTTCCATCTGAGGGGCCCCCCGAGAGCCCGCACGGGAAGTGGTGGTCGTAGAGAAAACTTCAGTCGGCCTGAGAAACTGTCAGGGGAGGGTACAGGGCTGGCCACCACTCCCGTGGAGGACAATGGCAGTGCTGAGAATGGGTGGGTACTTACATTATGAGTCATCCCAGGGGTTAGGGCACCATGTGGCTCTCCAGCAGACAGGCTCTGAAACGATGAAAAGTAATGCACGCATTCCTGAGTAAGGGGAATGGGACAGAAGCTGTGGGTCTGCATTGTAGGAAGGGGTGGGGGTGGGGGACCGGGTCCTTGGGCCCCAGATTTTAAATTGTTCTTAAATGGGTGTCACACCCAAACAAGCTAAACGGCAACTGTCTTTGAACGTAATAATCCCTCTAACAAGATGTGACTGCTAAGAAGAGAAATAGGATCCTGTAAGTCTGATTTGTACAAACTCAGAGGCTGACTGGGCTGACGAATTGAGCCCTAAAGGTTCAGTTTTAGAAACAACCGGAAAGCTGGTGCAAGCTGGTGCAGCCACTCTGGAAAACTGTATGGAGGTTCCTCAAAAAGTTGAAAATAGAGCTACCATA